TTAGCATCAGCATTAGCGCTAGATGGATCTACTGTCTGGTTGGCACTGTCCCTCACTACCTGATCCTTAGTGGAGCAGCTGATGAGGTCACTGAGGAGGTTTTTGCAGCTAACAGCTACATCAAACATCTGTAGACTGTCCGCCACAGAGATAACCTTGGTAAAATTGTGTTTGCCAAGCGGTAGCTTGCCAGTGTACATCATTTCTAGCAGAAGAGCAAACTCGTCAGGAGCCATCACAGAAGTATCAATGGAGATGGTGTCTGTGCTATCCAGCAAGGACTTAAAGAGCAGACTGGCAGCAGCCAGCACAAGCTTGTGTGCTCTGAAATGCACAGTCCCAATGTAAATGGTGCAGTCACAGAACTGCTGCTCTTTGCAGAGCGTGTAAAGCTGCTGTAGAAACTGTCTACTGTAGTTGGGAAGCTCCATTGCTCCACTGGCTTCTTCCTCCTTCAGATGCCACACAGCTTTAATGAGAACCAACTACAGATAAAACAAAATATTTTGCTCAGCGAGGTGGAAAGAAACAGCTGGAAAAAACTGTTCTTGTTCAAAATTTTTATTAATTTTCTAAGGATCAATTCAGCAATTATAATAGGTGTTAAGGCATTTTAATAATGAGGCAAAAGAACAGACAACAAAAACAAAATAACATTTTCCATCACAGAAAGTGTTGTGACCTTTTAAAATCTGCTCTAAAATCATAACTGCTCCGTTTAAATATGGCAGAGAAATAGCACTAAGTGTGGAGAAGAGCGTTCTAGTGAAAATGGTTTTGGTTTTACTGGGTCATGCTGAACGTTCACACACAATGCCTTGCATGAGTTTGCTTGCTAAGTTCATAGGGTGCCCTTCGCCACACACAGCCTATGAACCTGGGTCCCATACAATCTGGTTTTGGGACTCAAGCAAGCCTGAAGGCATGTAGGGCTTTTGCTGGGACTCTCCATATAGGTGAATTTCACTTCTGAAAAGCACAGCAGCAGGACACATAGTGCAAAGTAGGGATGTAAAAGGTTAACTGGTTACCCGGTAATTATTAGCCTTACTGGCATGCTTACCTGGTAACTGTTTAAGAAAGAGGGCCTAGCTAGCACACGGTAGTCCGCCAGAAGAACCCCATTTCAGGCAGGCCCAGCAAGGCTGGAGCAGCCCACAGTGCAGTGGAGCCAGAGAAGCCTACCATCCAGGGGGCCAGAGCCCCGCCAGCATGTGGTGGGCTGGCCAGCAGGACCCCTGCTGCTGGGCCCATCAGTCCTCCACAGTTAACTGGTTAAATAATTCAAGTGATATAGTGTAACTGGTTAACTCTTTAAATGGGTATCTCCATACCTAGTGCAAGGGAGCAAAGAAATCACAGCCTTTCTAAGAAACAGGACTATGTAGCACTTTAAAGACTAACAAGGCCTTTGAAGCAGGATGCAGGTAATCAAGTCGTTGAGACAATGTCCTTTCTGGTTGAAATGGCAAGAAACTGTTTTTTCTTTGTGATCCTGTCTAATATCTGTTTTGTGGGCATTGATCCTTTGGCGAAGTATCTGAGACGTTTGTCCAATGTACATAGCAGACGGACACTTTCGGCACATGATAGCATAAATTATATTTCTGGATGCGCAGGAATATGTGTTTTTGATCTTATAACTCAAAGGATCAATGCCCACAAAACAGATATTAGACAGGATCACACAGAAAAAACAGTTTCTTGCCATTTCAACCAGAAAGGACATTGTCTCAACGACTTGATTACCTGCATCCTGCTTCAAAGGCCTTTTAAGACTACACTTGAAAGAGAATCCTCTGAACTGTCATTCATGCTTAAATTCCACACTTTACACTTAAGTTTGAATAAAGACTAATTACCTTACCCATTACAAAGATAGCTTCCCCAATTATCACCTCTAATATCATTAGCTCACAGACATTTACTCCCCTCCATCCCCCTTCTGTTCTGAAATTTGATTTGTCCTTTTCATATGTGTTCATTTTTTTAATTGTATCCTTTGGTATATATGGTTGTGACAATTTTCTTCCACTATTTGATCTGAGGAAGTGGGTCTGGCCCACAAAAGCTCATCACCTAATAAACCATCTTGTTAGTCTTTAAAAAGCTACATAGTTCACTTGTGTTTCAGCTACATCAGACTAACACGGCTACATTTCTATCACTAGCCTTTCTAAGGCATGTGGAGTCTAGTGTCAGCTACTGCCCTGTGGATAAGACAGGAAAGTAGAGCAGCGTTTCTAAAGCTTTAAAGACAAAAACTGTGGCCCAGTTTCAAAGGTATTTTAGCCCAAAAAATCTATGTTTTTAGGCTCCATACTGGTCCACAAATCTCCCACTGAAAAACCGTAGGCATCTAAACTTTCTCAACGCCGAAATTTCCCTATGTTTCTGCCTGAGAGCATATGCACTGCTACCTCATTCTAGGCACCCAGATACCTATCTTCCACATAAATTCCAGAGCGATCCATGTACTGGGGAAGACAGGTATTTGGTTATTATTTGGCTAAATAATTAAAACATCATTAAAGCAAGGGGACTAGACCCTGGGTCTCTCACCTCCAAGGTGGGTACCCTACCACTTGATTAAAAGTCATTCTCTCACTTGCTCACTAGCCCAATGACTCGTTAGTTACTAATACACAGTGGAACAGCTTCAATAGATGGACAAAGGGAGCCCCAGAGCAGAGTATCCTATAGCTTACCAGTTGATACTCTCCTGAGAGGTGGGAGCTCTCCATTCAAATCCTTTTTCCTCCTCTGGCACAGGGTGAATTGAACATGGAACCCTTCCCCCCATATCTCTGGTGAGTGCACTAATCACAAGGCTATGGTTGGCAGCACCTCCACTCCCACCCTGTTTTCTGTGGAGCAAATCAGGCATCTGAGGCTGTGTCTAGACTACATGCCTCTGTCATCAGAGGCATGTAGATTAGACACATAGGCAAAGTCAAATGAAGCTGCAATTTAAATGATCGCGGCTTCATTTACATTTACATGGTTGCCGCACTGAGCCGACAAACAGCTGATCAGCTGTTTGTCGGCTCAGCGCGGCAGCCATGTAAATTTAAATCGCGGCTTCATTTGCCTTTGCCAAAACAACAAATCTACATGGCTCTGTCGACGGAGCCATGTAGTTTAGACGTACCCTAACTGAGGCACTGGTGAGGCCACATCTGGAGTATTGCATCCAGTTCTGGGCCCCACACTATAAAGGATATGGATGCATTGGAGAGGGTCCAGCGCAGGGCAACCAAAATGATGAGGGGGCTGGAGCACATGACCTATGAGGAGAGGCTAAGGGATTTGGGCTTGTTTAGTCTGAAGAGGAGAGTGAGGAGGGATTTGATACCAGCCTTCAGCTACCTGAAAGGGGTTCCAAAGAGGCTGGAGAGAGGCTGTTCTCAGTAGTGGAAGATGGCAGAACGAGGAGCAACGGTCTCGTGTTGCAGTGGGGGAGATCTAGGTTGGATATTAGGAAAAACTATTTCACTAGGAGGGTGGAGAACACTAGTTCTGCCAAACAGGTGTCATTCATGTCATGCACTACAGTATAGCAGTACATATTAGACTCCTAATCATAGTAATGTTTGGATGCGGTGACAGAGCTCTCAATGATGCTTGTAGCTGTTTCCATCACCTCACACTGACTCAGACATTGTAGGCTTCAGAGTGACACACTGACAGTTATTTGCAGCTCTGCTGTAGCCATCTTGCTTTCAGGATAGGAGACAAGGTGGCTGAAGTAATATTTTTAATGGGACCAACTTCTGTTAGTGAGACACACAATCTTTTGCGCTACATAAGGCATATGTGTGGAGGAAGGGGATGGAGAGATGAATGCATTTTCAAAACGTGTCAAGGAATGTGAAGAGTACAGAATAGGGGCTCCTTTTCTTGAATACATATAAATCTGAATTCTGAACAGCTCAACCTTCTGTCTTGTTGGATCCAAGAGAGACTTGGTTTCTATTAGGGATGTAACAGCATAGTCAATTAACCAACAAGATTAATGGTTAATGCTATAGACTACACGCATTTCTCTCTGCAGCACTGCTGCTTAGCCAGTCGGTCCCCAGCCTGTAGCAGTGGTTGGGATTCTTCTGTCTTAAGTGCAGGATTCAGGAGCAGCATGGGACTGTAGGGTCTGTAAGGGAAGATGCAGGAATGGGCTGGAGGTAGAGATGAAAGGTTTGGGCAGGAGGGAGATCCAGGAACAGGGTGGAGGAGCGGGATCTGGGCAGAAGGGAGGGAACAGGAATGGGCTAGGAGTTCTGAAAGGGAGGATGCAGAGGTGGGGGAGTGAAGAGTCTGGAATGAAGAGAGGATGCAGGATCAGGGTGAGCGGGTGAGGTCTAGAAGGGAGGGAGTGCAGGGTCTGGACAGGAGGGAATAGGGGGTTGGTGCAGCTGGTGCAGCTCCTGGGAAGGAGGGAGGCAGGTGCCTTCAAACCCTCTGCAGTCTGTACCCCCTTTTCCCAGGTTACAACTCCCTCCCAGAGTCTGTTCCCCCTACTAGAGCCCTTCTCCCAGGCCAGAATCCTCTCCTGTACCCATACTCCTTGCCTGATCCTACACCCCAATCCCCTGACCCAGGTCACAACCCCCTCCTTAACCCAAACTCCCTCTCAGATCTTACACCATCTCTTGCACTCCAATCCCTTGCCCCATGTGCCCTTTTGTGCCCAACCTCCATCCTAGACCCCACACCTCCATGGAAAATTGTAGCCCTTGACCACTTTCCAAAATCTTGGAGATACCCCCCTCCCCCCCACACACCAAAAATTATTGCCCACCCTTGTGCTAAACTCAGGTCAGGAAAAAGATCAGCTCTGGTCTGAGAAGAACTTTACCTGAAATATTAATTAGAGTGAGAATTTACCATTTGTTACATTTTCTCTTAGGGCACGTCTACACAGAAGGATAAAACTTGAATTAAGCTACTCAAATTCAGCTACGTCATTGCGTAGTGAAGTCAAAATAGCTTACTTCGGCTTTTGGTGTGGTCTACACAACAGGAAGTCAAAGGAAGAGCACTCTTCCTTCGACTTCCCTTACTCCTTGCAAAATGAGAGTTACAGGAGACAAAGTAAAAAGTCCTCCAGCTCACCATTATTTCAAAATAATGGCTTATCGTGTGGACGTGCACTATGTTATTTCAGAATAACATCAGTCATTCCAAAATAATGCTGCTGTGTAGACGTACCTTTAGGCTATGTCTAGACTGGCATGATTTTCCGCAAATGCTTTTAACGGAAAAGGTTTTCTGTTAAAAGCATTTACGGAAAAGAGCGTCTAAATTGGCACGGGCGCTTTTCCGCAAAAGCACTTTTTGCGGAAAAGCATCCGTGCCAATCTAGACACGGTTTTGCGCAAGAAAGCCCCGATCGTCATTTTCGCCATCGGGACTTTTTTGCGCAAGAGTTTTTAGCTGTCTAAACTGGCCCTCTTGCGCAAAAACATTTCAGGAAAAGGGCTTTTGCCTGAACGGGAATGTCAAAGCATTTGCGCAAGAAGCATTGATTTCAGACAGTAGAATGTCAGTGCTTTTGCGCAAAATCAAGTGGGCAGTGTAGATAGCTGGCAAGTTTTTGTGCAAAAGCGGCTGCTTTTGTGGAAAAACTTGCCAGTCTAGATGCAGCCTTTAGTGTATTAGGCTTACCTGGCTTGTTTTATTTTATCTTAGCTTAGTAACTTTCTTTGGTCTGTCTGTCACCACTTGCAAACACTTTTTATATTTAATAAATTACTTTTGTTCATTATTAAACCCAGTGTAAATAACTTATCTGGAGGAGGGGACAACAGCTGTGCATGGTCTCTTTCATTGGACACAAACTTGATGCACTTTCTCTGTGTAAAACTTTTATACAGAATAAGACTGTTTTATCTGGGGTTTTGGTCCCATTGGGACTGTGAACCTGGATGAACCAGGTGGCCGTCAGACAACAGGTTAGCAGCAGGGCCAGGAGCTGCCAGCCCTGTTAAGTGAATTCTAAGCCTCCACCCCAGACAACTCTGGGAGGAGGCTAACCCCCGGCACTCTCTCCTCTGCTCCAGGTCCCTTCTATTGGCCAGGAGTCAGGGGGCAAGGATCTCAGGCCAAGCAAAGCTCCCGGTAGGGTAACTCTAAACTCCACTCCTTCCTCCTGAGGCACTGCCCCTTCCACCTGAGGCCACACCCCTTCCTGGTCAGCCTGCAACCACTTCCAAAATTTGTGAAGTGGCCCCCCCTTCAAAAATTATTGCCCACCCCTGATCTAGTCTGACATCCTGTACATCACAGGTCATTATATTTCACTCAGCTACCTTTGGATTGAGCCCAGTAACTTGTGTTTGGACAACGAATATCTTCCAGAGAGCCATCTAGTCTTGATTTAAGAACTTCAAGAGACAGAGAATCTCTCTCTACTCTTGGTAGTTTGTTCCAATGGTTAATTACATTCACTGTTACTATCCGTGTCATATCTAATTTGAATTTGTCTGGCTTCAGCTTCCAGACATTTTATGGATGACTTTTGGGAAAGCTGGCTTAATGCCTCGTCTGTACTGGGAATATCTTTCAGGTCATCATTATTACTTGTTATTTATCTATTAAGAACTGACAGCATTGTGCCCACTTGAGAGGAAAAGGCAATTTGTTGCTTTTTCAGCCTGAATTGTTGAGGCCCCTTCTGAGCCAAACTCAAGGACTTGAGCGCTCACTATGTTAGGGATTTCAAACCCTCTGTACAGCACAGCTTAGCTATGTAGTTGTTGGTTCCTCTGGGGAACCAGAGACATCTGAACACTGTTCTGCTTCTGATCAGAAAACTGCCTTTGTTCATTTTCAATGCTACTCCGTTGCAATTTCAACAAAATAAGAGACAGCATGAGGGAATCTCCTGGCGAGAAGGCCAAGATACCTGCTGCACTGAATCAGACCCCAATTAGGCTTTCTTCATGGATCGAGAAAGGAAGCACCATATGAGGACAAGTAAGTCACTTCATACCGTCTCATGCAGGGAGTTTCCTGCATTGGAGGGAAACTGAGGACCATTTTCATCAATTCCAAGGCCAGAAGGGCAACTACAATCATCTAGTCTGACATCCTGCATAACAGAGCAAACAATCCCTCCAAGCCCTGCTCCCCTGGTACCCAGTCTCCCTGCTGAGCCCCATCCCCTCCAACCCAGAATATCTCCTTCTGAGCCCAATCACTTTCACCTGAACCCCTGCAGAGTCCCACCCCCCAAACACCTCAACCCAGACTCCTGCATGCCCCCCCCCCGGAACCTCCTGCACCCTGATTTCCCCACACAGAACCTTCTCACCCTACACCTAGATCCCTGCACAAGACTTTCTATATTTGGATCTTGGTGCAGAGGAATAGGGACCCAAGGTGTTTCTGGACAGACTCAACCCTTGTACTATGTTAGGTTGTGGTGTAGGCTCACTGCTGAGGCCCTGTCCCATTATGCCAGGGGTGGGGAACCTTTTTTGGGTCAGGGGGTGACTGACCCCCAGAAAAATTAGTTGGGGGCCGCACACAATTGGCCTCCATCTATAAAGGAAAAAGACACTCCCCACATTCTCCTCCCACACCAAAGCCTAGAGAGGCCCAGCCTAATAGACTTTGTGTGCCCCAGCCCCGCAGTGGGAGGGCTGGACCATCAGCACGGGTTCTCTAAAGCTGGGGGGGGAGGCCCTGGGCTTCGGGGCCAGATTCAACCCAGCTGGGGGCTGCATCTAGCCCATGGGCCTGAGGTTCCCCACCCTTGCACTACAGGATGGGGGACTGCAGCATGATCTCCCACCTCCACCTAGTCAGTGGCCTCCACATTTATTTATTGACAAA